TCTCCGTCGTACTCACGGTAGAACGGAAGATTGACCTCATTGAGAATGGCGGTGATTGTACCCTGTGCTGCACGATCATCTGGCGTATTGCTGGTACTAGTATCGTAACGGCCAAACAAGGCGCAGAGGAGGCTGGCACCGATACTTGGGTCTATTGTGCGACGGTAACGTTCGCCCATTCGATCACCACCACGCAATGCATGCTCAACCAACCAATCAGCCTTTTGCTTTAGTGGCCAGTCTCGGACTGCATCAAGCCCGCTAGGGCCTGCTTCACTAAAGCTGGTGTCAACGAAGTTGACTTGACCGGATGTCCAGGCCTGCATTATGGCCTTGGTATCTCGATCCACATCGACAACGTAGAATTGCCAGAGCTGGAGCTTGCTGAGAACATGGTCCTTAACGCCCTGCATGACCTTCAAGAGGTCGGCCTCACTCTCGAATGTGGTTGGTAGACCGTGGTCTTTGAGCTCTTTGCCAAACTGCAACAGGGCTGTATCGAGCTCAAGAGCAGGACGCAGGTGAGGTGCCGTGTCAACGTTGTAGCCAGATTCAGGGTGCTCCTCAAGCCATTTGCTGTTGTTGGCCGTGTGGTTCCAGACGACATCAGTCATAGCAAGCAAATTGAACTTGTCGTGCATCTTGCGGACCAGATCCGCAATGTCCTTTTCGCCATTCTTGAAGATGGCGTCGTCGAACGTGAGCTGATCGTATATGCTGTACGGAGAATTTGAATCACCACGCATCATTAGCGGCGTGAAATGGATCATGTTGTAACCCCGCTCGCTAATACCCCGCAGGTGGTTGTCCCAGTCTGTGGGGTAGTTGCCCATGAACTTGGACAGGCAGGAGAAGATGCAGACAGCCTCAACCGGCAAGTGCTGACCATGCAACTCCAGACTCGGACAAATATCAATGTAGTATGTGTCTGTACGCGTGGGTTCTGGTGACGTGACGTCCGTCAATGACCACTCCGGCAGTGGTGTGTAGGTCGTATAGAAGGAGAAGGCATTGGCCTCGTGTACAGGAATCTCGATCTCACACATGCCCGTAAAGTTGGGCTGTAGTCTGCATCCAGTGTTAGGGGCGTTGAGGGCATGGAGAAAGCAGGAGCTTACTTGTACTCGCGGTAATTGCTGCGCTCAAACTTGTTTCCCTTTTCGGGAATGTTCACCCAAAGACTGCCCTCCCGACATATTGAGCTGGTACCCTGAATTTGGAAGCATATCGAGTATGCGGGATTAGTTGGTGGAGGCAGGTAAATGTACGTGCCGGGAACATCTGGTGTGCCGTAGTCGGTCAATGGCAGCAGGTAGACAACCCTCTGGTCCGAAGACTTGGAGTGGTGAGGCAACGCTACAGACATGATGGTGCCGAGTGACAAAGAGTCGAGCTGAGCTGGCGGTAAACAATGGCAACAGACACTCGAGGAGGGTTGCAACGAGGGAGGGGTGTGTGTGTGTGGAAAACAGCTTGGTGAGAGCTGTGCGGGGAGAGAAATACAGTGCACCAATGGGCTCGACTGAGGCTATCAACAGTCGAGGGGCCAGACCGCGCAGAAGCTCCTGAGGCTGTCAATGGCCCTCTGTGTGTGTGTGGGGAAAAAAGAGACAGCAACAACGTCTGGAGACGTGTGAGATTGGTAGTGGGCGGTCGCGTACTAGAGTACAGCGGCCACAAGCGCAACACGCGGGAAACGTCATTGCCCCAAGCTCTAACCCCAGCCTGCCGCCCCGTTCCTGACAACGCTACAATCCAATAGCGCGGGGGCTGGGCGTGCGTCCCAACGCAATCGAGTTGGCTCCAAAGAAACTGTTGAATACGCTGAAACTACCATTGGAAAAGCTTGTTTATGTCCCTCTGGCCACCGCATCCTCATATGGTACAAGTGGGCTCCCTCAGATGCTACTTCTTCCCAGCCCTCTCCCAACGCCTATATGCAACATGATGCAGGAATAAAGCAGTTAATGAATATGCATGCAGCCCAAACTCCAACGCTGGCTACTAAACAGATACCAAGCAATACTGCTGCCACGAGCTCAGAATGATCAAAAAGATGGGTATCGCGACCTCGTGGCAGCTCACGTGGGACGAAACGAAGATGCGAAAAACAACAGCCCAAACCTAACCCTCTCTTTTTTCGTCACCTCATGCATGCACGCCCGGGGGGGAGGGGGTCATTTTGCAATTGAACCCCTCCCCTTCCCCCATATCTTCATCAGAACTTGATGTTGAAAGGAGAGCCCGGTGGATCGCGCAGGTCCAGGCGGAATTGTGTCGATTCTGAGTGGTCGCGCATGTGGTTTGCCTGGGTGGGTGTAGTATTTTCGTCCAAGTCAACCGAAGATGCTTCTGTGCTGACGGATGGAGGTGCTCGTGGAACGCCTCGTTTGTGGGGAACACCTTCTCGGCTATCTGAAGACGAAGTCAGACGTTCCGGAGACATCTCACGCTCATTATAACCCCCGCCACCCATGCGTAATACAGGGTTGCTTGCAGGTTCCGTCAAAACTGGTGGAGGATTGGGCGGTGTAGCACGCCCGTTTCTATCGGACGAGATTCCGCGAGAAGAGGGTTTGATGTAGTCAGTTGACTGACTCCGTTTGGTAGATGGCTTCTGGTTTGATGAATTGCCGCCTTTGCTCTTGCCCAGGCCATTTTTCGAGGATTTTTCTTGTTGTTGTTGTTGTTGTTGCTGTTGCTGCTGCTGTTGCTGCTGTTGCTGTAATTGCTGCTGCTGTTGGTTTTCGGCTTCGAGAGAGTTCAAGAAGTTAATTTCTTCTGTCAAAAAATCCTTCTCTGTCCAGCAGCCCTGCCAGCAATTTCGCCAATCCAAGATAAGAAACTGAAAACAAAAGGCGTCAATCTTGATTGCCGGCTGGAAACAGATGCACAAGTTATTGTAGTTCATCTTGTTGAACTCGGAACAAGAATGGAGGAGGCTGATGTGACAAGTAATGGCGAACAAAAGATAATAGTTGAATGGGGGCAGTTTCGACAGCTCATCCTTGAGCATTTGTGGTGTTGTTTTTGCGCCTTGGCATTCTTGTTGGATGGCAGCCTGGATCGCTTTCGGGAAGATTTCGTCTGGTAGTTGTCGTAGCCAGTTCTTGAACAAGGAACCGATGACATTGGGGTCGTTTAGATTCGGGTCGCTGATTAGATCGATATCCCGGTCTATAGTATCGTTAGTAACTGTAAACATGATAGATGTGATGAAACATACCCTCATCAAACTTGCGTTCGTAATATCGAACTTGTTGGGCAGATCCCGGGACACGATAAAGGCCTTCTTCTTCACAACCTCTCATGTTCAAGTAGCTGCGGCATCGGTTAGCGACCACAGCTCATTTCAATCTGGAAATTACCTACTCGATACACCGCCAGGGCAGAGCCGGCATCCAGAATTCAGTCTTGTCGCGTGACTGCTCTAACCGGGTGGATATTCTGGTTAGTCTCGTCTGTTCTATTAGTGGCTTGTGTATGATCTTGCAGACATATGGCTCGTTCATTACGGGCGTCTGGGTCTCGTGGTTGCTCGAACTTCGTGCTAGCTTGCCGAAAACGCCCTTGCGTGCAGAGTCCATCTTCTCTCCCATGTTGCGAGCCCCTGAGCCGAGCTTGAAAATGAAGCCATGTCCTTTGTTCTCGTTGAAGGAGTTGGAGGCAACCGATAACTGCTCTGACTTGTCTCTTCTTGATCCAGCGTCATCGTGCTGTGGTATTGGTTTGGGTGCCTCTTGCCGTTCTGTCGAGTGGGTTCGCATCTTGCCCTTTCCCATTTGGCGCCATGACTGACCCTTGTCCATTGCTGTCGGTTTGAGCGGCGTACCGTCGCCATTCGTCGTCCACGAGCCTGCCACGTCTGGTGACAATTGCCCTGGGGGCACCTTGTTCAGTTTTCCACGCGATCCCGAGCCTTCCCCCTCTTTGATGGATTTGGACCTCGACAAGATACCCTGCTTCTTTGGTTTTGAGTTGTTGCGTTTGGAAGGGTCAGTGTGTAGGTCAGAGTCGTTTGATAAGGCAGACGGTGCCCGTTGGTCTAAGCGTACGACTTCGGAGCTGGCGTCTACTAAAATTAGCAAAACTGGGTCATTCGGTCAAATTGAAGAAGCCCTTACCGTCGGAATTGGGAGTGCGCACGGGGCGGCCGAGATCCGGTGTGGATGCGCCACTCCGTCCGTTGGAATACAGGGTTGGGGACGATTGCTGCTCGTGAAGCTGCCGTGACGAGTTTCCGTGGCTGTTGTTGAGGCGCGAGGAGGACTTGTTGGCGGAGAAATTGGCGAAGATGCTCTTGGAGTCTTTGCGAGGTTTAGGCGAAGCTGGCGATTGCGGCATATTGTGGAAAGCAGCGTTGGGTGCTGCGAAGTCGAACTTGTCGGGCATCTCTGGTGACCGTGGACTCCTCGGACTCAGGGGCGCACTACCACCATTATCTTTGGGCTTTCCCCGCATAGCCAACGAAAGTGTCGAAGATTTAGGCATCGTGTGTGATATTTGCCGTGGATGGATTCGGGACTACCGGGTGGGTATTACAACTCTGTTTGAAAGCAAAGCTTGTCCCAGTCCGCGCGCCGAGTGTACAGGTGGGGATTCCAAAACAGCCCAATGGGTGTCTCCGGAGGGGAAGCAGGGCAAGGTGCAAACAGTAGAGCAAGCGTGCGAACAGGCGATGGGGCGCGTGCGAAGGGGTATGGTCTGGTGGTAGTGGCAGTAGCGGTGGGAGCAGTGGTGTTGGTGGTGGTGGTGGTGGTTGTTTTATTGGACGCGGCACATGAGTGTTTGGGTAGTCCAAGAGCCTGTGTTTGCCCATGGCTGTCAGCGGTGGGCTCAATCGTGGGCGTGAGGGGCTGTAAGGGCAGGCGAAGGGGTTTAGCAGAGGGCGCGGGGTAGTACGAACCGTGGTCGGGGTGGTCAAGTAGTTGTGTATGTGTGTGCCCTAGTCAGTGTCGTCTGCAGGCGTATGTATGTGGGTGCGTTGTGTCGCGATGTGGTCAGATATATCTCACCAACGGCAAGGCGTGGTTTCCATGCAGGAAGCCGGGAGAGACGGGGGGGATACAAAGGGTGTGACCCTGGCTCTTGGGCACTGGGCTGACGCTTGCAGGCCCGTTGCTTTCTGGCAGCTTCCCCTTAGGGGAGGTCGAGGTCGGGCGGTGGGAGACAGCAAGGCGGCCCTGCAACGTCTGGGACACAGTCAGCAAGCGTTGCACAACGGCAAAGGGGCGGGCGCTATGGCGACTGTTGTCCAACATTGGGGCGGGCACAGGTGAAGGCCGACGAGGGAGGTGTGCCAATGCCCGTCTGGGCCATCGGTCGGTCGACTTACCCACTCACTCACACACGCACACACGCACACACATGCACGCCCAAAACAGGGGACTGGCGTCGGCGGGAGTCGCTGGCGGGCGCAGACAACAACAAAGACAAGGACAAGACAGGACGACGCCTCTGCAGGCCGACGAGGGTTCACGCGCAGAGAGGAAGGGAATGGGGAGAGTGGATCTATTTTGGGGCTCAGCACGCGTGGGTTCCTGACTACAGGCCTGGGTGCCCGTTGCAAGGGCGAGTGCGGTGTCCGGGCGGTGGACACGGCGGAGGAGAGGGGGTGGGCTTTGGCCAGCACTCAGCAGAAGGGGCACGAAAAAGGACGAGAGGGCCGTGGGCGGTGGGCGCCGGGCACATGGGGCGGGCGCGAGGCGAGGCGAGGGTGGCGGAGGAGTGTGGTCTTTGTGCTGGCCGTGGTCGTGGAAGAGGGGGGTTTGTTGTTGTTGTGGGTGTTGTGAGGGCAGCGGTGGTGGTGGTGTTGGTGTTGGTGTCGGGCGTGGATGTACGGGCTGCAGTGCGCTACGATACGCTACGCTGCGCTGCTGCTGCTGCGCTGCTGCTCTGCGACATGCGACGGAGCGAGGCCATGGGCTGCAAAGGGCGGCAGCGCCAGCGCCAACGACGAGGCCAGCGCACGGCCCCAGGTACGAAAGACGCGCGACGCTGCTAAAACCCCAATTCGGCCCAGAGACGCTATCGTGCGCAAACTGGTGTCCACCGCGGATGCACCACCGGCCATGCACGGCACAGTGAATACGAGTGGTGTGCCTTGTCTCCATCTCTCACTGCTGCTGCTGCTATCGCCACCACATCCATCAAGCCTCTAGTACCTCTCTCTCGACATCTCCTGAAATGCATCGACAGAGGGCCCGCATACTTAGGCTGGCGGGGCAACCACTTCACCACACGCCAAGGAGCGGGTACAGTGCATGTGTGTATATGCACACATGTCCGCATCTATGTAAGTGTATCTGTACGCATGTATGTACTATGCACACAAGTACAGCGCAGCGCAGTGCCGTGCCGTGCCGTGCCGTGCAAAGCCAAAGTGCAAGTGTGTCCATGGCTCCATGTCACGCACGCATGCTGCATCCATGGACAGCCTGCCAAGCCTTGTTTCAGACGTCTTCAGACTCCCTCGCCCGCTCCGAGCTGCCTCAGGCCCACCCCTGTCGTCCGACGCAAGCACACAAGCTCGACACCAATGCACCACACCTGTAACCCGTCACTCAAGCACTAACTAGATCCCTCCCTCCCTCCCTCCCTTCCACCGCAACCCAACCCCCGTCTCTAACATGTCTCTTGTTTCTGGGCCCGGGCGTGCTGCCACGACGGCCATGCCCGACAACACGCTTCTCTTCGTCGACAAGCACGTCCACTACATCCAGAGCCTCGACACTGTGCGTGCGTCCTGCTTTTGTCTGGCCGCGCAAGCACCCGGCCCTCAAATCCCGCGCTGACCCGCTCCAGCGCAAAGACGAGCTCGAGTACTGGCTCACCGAGCACTTGCGCCTCAATGGCCTCTACTGGGGGCTGACGGCCCTGCACCTTCTTGGCCATCCCCACGCCCTTCCTAGGGCTGGCATCCTGGACTTTGTCTTCTCCTGCCTGCACCCTGACGGCGGCTTCGGTGCTGCTCCCGGCCACGATGCACACATGCTCTACACTGTGAGTGCCGTTCAGATACTGGCCACGCTAGACGCTTTTGCCGAGCTAGACGACCGCATCCCTGGCGGCCGCCACAAGGTTGGACAGTGTAAGTTGCTCGCGCGCTGCTGGTCGTCCTCGTACGACGACGACGACGACGAGGAATAGTCGCACTCATGCCATGTCTAGTCATTGCAAACTTGCAGGATCCCCAAACAGGCACATTTGCAGGTGACGAGTGGGGCGAGCAAGACACTCGCTTCCTATACGGTGCACTAAATGCCCTCTCGCTCATGGGACTGCTTAATCTGGTCGATGTTGCAAAAGCGGCTCAATACGTGCATTCGTGCGCCAACTTTGATGGCGGCTACGGAACCAGCCCTGGCGCTGAGTCGCACGCTGGGCAGGTCTTCACGTGCGTTGGTGCACTGACCATCGCAGGCCAACTCGACCTCGTCAACCACCAGAAGCTTGCCGCATGGTTGAGCGAGCGACAGCTCAAAAACGGTGGCTTGAATGGACGCCCAGAAAAGAAGGAGGACGTCTGCTACAGTTGGTGGGTCATGAGCAGCATGGCCATGCTGGACAAGCTGCACTGGATAGACGGCACCAAGTTGACGCAGTTCATCTTGCAGTGTCAGGTACGTAGCCGTCTGTCTTTGCTCGAGCTTGCATCTGATGTCTGTAGGACCCGGAGCTGGGTGGCCTCGCTGACCGCCCGGGCGACATGGTCGACGTCTTCCATACCGTCTTTGGCATTGCTGGTCTTAGTCTTCTCAAGTATCCAGGCCTTGAAGAAGTAGACCCCGTCTAGTATGTGCTTGCTCTCGCGTGTCCTGAACATAGACACTGACCTTGAACTAGCTGCATGCCTCGATCTGTGACTCGTAGATGCTTAGGTAAGTGACCGGAAATGCCATAGATAAAGTCCGTGTCCGACCTTTTCCCGTATCTGCAGAGTGCAAGTTGTAAATGTCTGCACTCACCATGTACATCTACGCCGCTTGTCATTGGATGCATCCAGCTCTTGAGCGACTGCCTGCATCTCTACACCATGACAATCCATGTGCATGCGCAGTCTAGTCTCCTGCCATCTCCCTCCCGCTATCTAATACCTCACGTCTTCCCCCATAGGCGCTGAGACACAAAGCGGGAGCAAAGTAACGGTGACTGCCTCTTTTGTCAGTGCCGAGCCTCCCCACGTGCTCTGCCTGCTAGAACACCACCAACAAACTTTCCCCTCGTCTGCAGATACTGTGTGCCTTCCCCCATGTCTTGACTGCGAGTGCTTCCGTCTCTTTCTCTACTTCCTCTAACCTGCTCAGGTCATGGGCTGGAGCTACCGCAGCCGTCGGCAGCCATCTCTGCATTGAACCTCTCATGAGCAGGTCTTCCACTGCCACTTCGCCTTCTCATCTGCCAGCCCGCTCCTTTCGTAACATTGCGCATTTGCTGCTGTGCTGCTGTGCTGCTCTTGTGTCTACTCCAGTTACGCTCCTTACAAACGCCAGCGTCCACGCTGCAGTTTCTCCCTAGCAGACTGCGACCTCTGCAATCGTCCGGCATGGCTAACATACCGCTTCACTGCAACATCTGTCCCAAGAAACCAAATTTTAGCGATGTCTCCCATCTACTCACCCACATCGCCAGCAAGGGCCATTTATCCAACTACTACAAGGTCAAGGTCCGCTCCACCAATGAGGAATCATCCCGTCAACTCATCGAGGCATATGACCAATGGTATGCCGAATGGTCTGTTGAGGAGCTCATGTCGGAGCGGATGAATCAAAAGGACAAACGTCGCACTCGGGCAAAACCAGCTGGTATTAGCCCATAATGTTTGCGGTCCATTGCATAGCAATGTTGCTAACTTCACTGACCTGTAGCCCGTTCCACTTCTGCGCCCAAGATCGAGGCTCCTGTACCACGCCTCGTTCGTCGCGCTGCCGCCGCTGGTAACTTTCTCGATCCCCGTCTTGCAGAGCAGCAGCGCCAGCACACAGCGATAAAGGTGGAGCAATCACCTTCGCCCATCTCTCAAACTGCAGGCCCAGTTCTCCGTAACCGCAACAATTTCGCGCCCCATATGCAATACTGGCCTACAGAATCGCGCGCCAGCTCTCAAAGCTACACGAACCCCGACTATGAGACCTCGAGTGAATATTCGGACCCAAGCGAGAGGCGGCGATCATACCAACATGCTGCGGCTTCTTGTGCAATTGAGGATGATCCTGCAGATGTAGCAGACCCGATGGCTGTCAGTGAGTCAACCAAGCTCAAGGGTGTGTATTGGCCTGGGATGGACATTTTTGATTCAGCTACCCCGGAGATGCGCCGCAAGAGAAACCAAAAGAAAGACAGTTCTGTTGTTGCACAGTTAGAGCTGAACTCCTTGGACGTTGAGGCAGCTGAGCTCATTTTCACTCCTTTGGGGACGTTCAAGCGACAACGAAGAATCTCATGTTCTGAATCTGATGGAGATGAGGTCGAGCTCAAATCCGAGAGCTCTCCTCCAATGCGCAGACGTCCTGCACTTGCGCATCTCGACGTCAACACCTCTCGTCGTTCTAGACAATCAAATCACCCTGCATTCCCCTTCATGGATCGCAACCAGTACGACGAAGATTATGGCCGCACTAGCAATCGCGCTCGCGCATCAAAGCGAAAGCGGTTTGAAGTCTTCCAAAATGACAGCGCTGTTTCATTCTCCCAGCCTAGCAGTATGACCTATCTTACATCTGCTTTCACACGTCAGCCCTCGCCGAGCCCAACAGCTCCATTCCATACTTACAAGCCTTTCAATGACTCGTTTCAATACGATAACAAGGAGAACATGATGCCCTCGTTTCATCAAGCAGCTTACGGCAACGTTCATAGCCATCAGAGTACTAGCTATCAGTACCCTTCTTACGCCTATGGCCTAGGCCCTGATCATCATGTCTTCCAGTACAGTACCCACTTGTACAATACGGCTAATGACTATCCGCAACACGACCAAGATGACGATGACGACCAACGCACTATCACTGCGCCACCTTCTCCGTCTACTAGCTAAAGAATTACCATGTCATGCCGAACTCTCAATGCAATACCTACGACTTGGCATAGCATTCTCGATGCGTTTGCAAACTCACGCTTGTAGCGTCTTCTCTTAAAGACATTTTAGTGCTCCGCTTTTGCATGATATCATACAATTTATTGCCGTATCCTATACCGTCGACTATGATATATCCGAAGAGTGGCAGGCTGAAAAGATCACTGGAAAGATACTCAGACATGTCCTCTCCCATTTCTATACTGTTCCCTACTGTTCAATTTTTCTCACGAACATGGGTTGCTGGTGAACAGCTAGTGAGCATGTATAGTATCGCTGCTTTTACGTCTCCATCGTTAATAAAGTAGCTGTGATAGAATCTATCTCGGTGATTCAATATTTTGTGTATAACTAGACGGCTGTGCACCCCATGCATGTTCAAATGCTCCTGGACAGCTGCTAGTTTCCATCTCTACAATCACTCTTCTCTCTTCTAATTTACATTTCCTACTCCTATATCGACTCTCGCCCCATATTTGTGGATGCTTCTTCTTTTTTTTTCTTCTGGTAATGTGCCCAGAAGAGCTGGCTCCTTCTATTCTTGATCCATCTTCTCATACTCCATGCCTCCTTGACATTTACTCCCACTTTCCGCTTCCACCCATAACCTTACTCCTCCTCACTTTGTCTAGATGTTCAACACTCTCGTACCCATTCACCTTGGCGTATGCGATTCTTAACCCTCCGCCAACAACCCACATAATGACTCCACTTACCACAAATAAGCCCACGCGCTGGCTGGTGGTAAGAATCTGGAAGATTGGGTACGGGTAAAAGCCATTTTGCGAGTAGCAGATTTCCTAAGCCATTGTTAGAGAAGCGAAGCAACATGTGGAAAGTCAAAAAGTTCATGGCTTACGATCCAGATCCAATAGGAAAAGGCGACAATGGTAGAAAGAGCAAGAGTTATCATGGGTGCCGACTCATTCATGGGCGTTGTGGGCCATGGAGGTGAAAGCAGCAGATAGTCTACAGTAAGAACAATAGCAGGCATGAGATGAAATCCAATATCAAAGAATACGGGTGGTAGTGGTATTTCTCTGTGACATTTTCGTTAGCCCTATTCATTTTTACAAACAACCGTCGTCTTGATGACAGCAATGCTTCGAGTTCTAAAAAAAAGAGGTATACATACGGGCTCGCAAGGAGTTTTGCATCAATGCCCTTTATTGTCCAGTAAAGCACTGAAATGGTAATTTCCAGTGGTGCTGCGACCAACGTTAGGTAGTTCTTCAACCTAAAGAGGTGCGATGAGAAAGCTGCAGCGGGAGGGTCGGAAGGCATGTCCGGAGATTGGGCCAAGGCTGTGGATGTCAGGTCCGCCAAAAGGGCGACAATGAAGGTCAGAGTAGAGATGGAGAGGCCGAGTATGGTCAGGAATTGGAGATGCCAACCAAATGAGGTACTCTAGCCGACATGTCAGGATACTTGTAATAGTACTTTGCAAATTGTAGAAACCTACAAAGTCATTTGGATTATCGACCAAACTTTAAAGTATTAGTTACTTTTTGTTTCACGTTCTGCCCTTGTGGAAGCACGTACTATTTGAAAGATAGGTAGAAGCTGATCAGGCCAAGGACCTACATCCCAGCTGATCAGCAAGTGAATTTTATATTATTTTTCTCTTGATATCGTAGTTCTGCAACTCACATGCACGGCACCTGAAAATCCTTTGGATGGAGAGTCAAATCGTTGGAGCGGATGCCGCCGGCTCGACGTGGGCTTGATCTCAGCCGACGTTTTGGATGCCATCTCGCTCTTCACGATCACAACCAAGATATAAAAGAAGACAACTTATAGTGAGATAGCCGCCCGGTAAATGGGATACGAAGGGTAGAGCGTTGTACACGACAAAAAGAAAGTGTGCAGAGTAGGAACACTAGCGTTCACAAGACGTGACGTATTCAGTGGATACATAACAAAGTTCACCTTGACAGAGCACAAGCCAAGCACACGTGGGTCCCGCTGTCGTCCCGGATGGAGCCTCGGAAGGGCTCCGCATCCGGATCTGACTAAGCTGGGGGAGCAAGCAACTTCTCCCTTGCAACCCTCCCACTTGATCCATTCGTGCCATTCATACTCTGCTCGACGTGTGTAAGCTCGTACTTCACGTTTCTCTGTCATCTGACGCCGGGTGGATAAAAGCTTGCCGTATTTGAGGCTATTCTTCGGCTTATCCATAAGATGCCGAGCGAAACGACTCCGAGAACGAATCATGTCGGCCGGATGGCAAAACCTCGGTACACATAGCAATCCCGCTATGTTGGCTTCTAAAATTGGCCAATGATACATATCTATGCTTCTCCACACTGCCGTGTCGCAATGAACAGGTTGGTGGGATAACAGCCATGTCTATCGGAAAGACGGACAAACAGCCCGAACGGGATGGGGTGGAGCGGGTGAGACTTGGGTACATAAGATTTCGAGGGCTGCACTCTAAAAGAAAGGTACCGAGCGGTGATATTCGCAACGTATAATTTGCATCACTGCTACATGTAGCAAAAAGCTTTCGTACTTTCTTTTTCCCAGTCCCGAAGTCCTGGTCACGGCTCTCTCTCATTACACATCTACAGCCATGAGCTCAAAAGTTGAGGCTATTCTCCAGTCTCTGACACTGGAAGAGAAGATCACTCTCCTTGCTGGCAAGGACTTTTGGGAAACAGTTCCAATCCCAGAAAAAGGCGTTCCTGCTATCAAGGTATGGCTTGCAACTATGGCAATGAGTGTGCATCGAACCTGACAGTTGGAAGACCAGCGATGGACCGAACGGCGCACGCGGTGGAGTCTTTACTGGAGGAACTCGAGCAGCCTGTTTTCCGGCTGCAGTATGCACGGCTGCAACATGGGATCCTGCAAACGGAAAGCGGATAGGCCATGCCTTGGCAGAGGAAATTAAGACTAAGAGCGCGAGAGTGCTGTATGTGTACTTCTTTCTTAGTAGCACATGGACGTCACTGACAGTCTGAATATAGACTCGCACCTACCATGTGCAATCACAGGCACCCACTCGGTGGCCGAAACTTCGAATCATTCTCTGAGGATCCATATCTAGCCGGAAAGATGGCTGCCAATGTTGTGAATGGACTACAGGAGAAAGGTATTGCAGCAACGATCAAGCACTTTGCGGCAAACGAGCAAGAGACGGATCGTCTGCGAGTCAATGAGATTGTCTCGGAACGTGCGCTGAGAGAAATCTACATGAAGCCTTTTGAGATCACTGTCAAAGAAGCCAATCCTCTTGCCGTCATGACTTCGTATAACAAGGTCAACGGTACACATGCAGACTCAAATGAGTTCTTATTGAAGCAGGTTTTGCGGGGCGAATGGGGCTGGAACGGCCTCGTTATGAGCGACTGGGGCGGCACAAACTCTACTGCCGATTCACTGAATGCTGGACTGGACCTCGAGATGCCTGGACCAACAAGATGGCGTAGCGTCGAAGCAGTGACTGAGGCGGTTAAGAAGGGCGAAGTTACAGAAGCTACCATCACTGAACGAGCGAGGAATGTTTTGAACCTGATTGAGAAGGTAGGAGCGTTCGAAAACCCAGAGATACCACCAGAACGGTCTGTAGTCGATCCGAAGCACTGCAAGCTCATCCGCGATGTTGCCGGACAGGGAATCACGCTGCTGAAGAATAATGGTGTTTTGCCGCTCAGAAAAGAGCAAGTCAAAGGCAAGAAGATTGGTCTTTTTGGTTTGGCCAAGGAAGCTCTCATCCATGGCGGTGGCAGTGCGTCTTTGAATGCTCACTACCGCATCACGCCAGAAGAAGGCCTCAAATCTGCATATGGCGACGACGTAGAGTTCAAATTCGCCAAGGGCGCAGCAACGTACCGTCTCATTCCCCCTCTATCAAAAGGCTGTAGAGACACGGAGGGAAATGATGGATGGACGATGAAGCTTTTCGACAAAGACAACAAAAGTAAGCCGATCAAAAGCGCCCACCGTATCAAAGAGGCTGCGTTCTCTCCTCTGCTAGAACATCAGGCCAAAGACAGCGAGGTCGTATTCGGCGCGACCTTTTACCCCAGCGAGTCTGGCTTGCATTATCTTGGATGCTCAGGTATCGGCCCAACAACTGTCTACATCAACGAGGAACTCATTTTCGAGCAAAAGCACAACTCACCCGACGCCATGGGCTTCCTCTTCGGCGGCAACCCAGAGAAAGAGTTCCGCTACCCATTCATCAAAGACCAATGCTACAAGATCGAAATCATCTCCAAACCCCCAAGCGGCACCAACGACGACGCCGGCATCCTCGACGGCCTCCCCGGCTTCCGCCTCGGCTTCATGTACGAAGCAGAGCACGACCGCGACCTCGCCGCCGAAGCACAAGACCTCGCCGCAACCTGCGACTACGCCCTCGTCTTCACAGGTCACACGCCCGTCTGGGAAACCGAAGGCCAAGACCAAGCCTCCTTCCACCTCCCCCGTGAAGGCACACAAGACAAACTCATCGCCGCCGTCGCCGCCGCCAACCCAAACACCATTGTCGTAAACTCTACGGGTGTAGCCGTCGCCCTACCCTGGCTCGACAGCGTCGCCGCCCTCGTGCAAGCCTGGTTCCCCGGCCAAGAAGCCGGAAACGCAATCGCGGATATTCTGTCCGGCGCTGTGAATCCATCCGGCCACCTCCCTCTGTCCTGGCCCAAACGCATCGAGGATGCGCCTGCGCATGGCAATTTCCCTGGCGAGAGGGATCAGAGTGGGCAGTTGACGGTTCACTACGCCGAGGGAGTTTTCGTCGGATATAGACACTATGATCGTGTTGACAAGGGGAAAGTGCATTTTCCGTTTGGATTCGGGCTGTCGTATACGACGTTTACTATCTCCAATGCCGCGGTTGCTAAGACTCCTTCTGGCCGGTTTAGTGCGTCGGCCAAGGTCAGGAATACGGGAAGTGTGCCGGGAGCTGTGGTTGTACAGGTGTATGTTGGCAGGAAAGAGAAGTTCGAGGAGCATCCGGTCAAGACGCTTGCGGCGTTCCATAAGGTGGTTCTGTCGCCTGGGGAGGAGAAGAGGGCTTTGCTGTCATTTGCGAATAGGGATTTTGCATACTTTGATGAAGGGGCCAAGGAGTGGGTGGTGGAGAAGGGGGTGTATGAGGTTTCTTTTGCGCAGAGTGCGGGGCATGTGGATGAGGTTGTCGAGATGGAGACTGAGGGAGTGAGGGGGTTGAAGATTTGAAAGGCTGTGGTATGGAATTTTTTGAACTGGTAGAGGATTTGTATGATGTGGTAATTTGGAGTGTTTTGGTATTTAGGGATGATGAAGAGAGAGAGAGAACTGGATTTTTAACTTCTCAAGATTTTGTTGCTCACAATGACCCTGCACTCGTGATATTCAACATCGTGGTGTCTGGTGACTGCATATGTGGGACTTTGACATGTAGAAACTTGGGCTGCATATATTGCTCTTGGGAACCACAGAGATCACGTGTTTAACGACGACCTGTATGAATATCTTAAAAAAGAAAAGTCACATATACCAAATACACATTTGGAGCCTCATCCGACATCTCTAGTTCTAGGCAAGGATGCACGCATCTAGACTTGTCGTATTTGGTTCTTGGAGAAAGACCAGGGTTATGCATCACGCTGCATACCCGTGCACCTCTTCCCTACCAACCCACTTCAATCTCAAAAGAAAATAATGGACGCTCAAAGATTGCACTACTATATCATACACCTGTCCCATTTCTACACTACTATATAGTGTCGTCATACATCTATACACCCTAGCACCTCCCATCCCTCCAGCGGTGAGAGTCGCCCTGAAAACAAAGAAAAACAAACAAACAAATCAGCGGTGTCGATACCCGACCGAACCAACGTAGACGCTGCAAGGCCATCTACTTATCCAGGGCCACATGCTTTTGACCCCTGCCACACCACTTTCTTTCTTTCTTTTTCCTTTTACTTTGCTTTTCCCCGTCTCACACGTCGCAACACCTTTCCAACTCCAACGAGGCGGTCAAGCCCAGATAAGCGCATGTTGTGAACGTCGGCCTTGCCTCTATGTGTGCATAGCCCTCTTTTCGCTATCTTACCGCTCGAATCTTGCCGAAAATGAGGCGAGACGAAGTACCGAGACTCCCCCCCGAGTCTTGTCGGCAGTCGATAGGCTCAAAAGCAAAATCTCAGCACCGTCCGTGTCCCCATGTTCACACGCACGCCATGTATGTATGTGATAAGGTTTTAGGCGTATTTGTCAGCCAGACGGCGCAACGAACGGGGGATGAACCGTGAGTCCCCTTTTATTGCTTAGGCGTGCGAACTTGTCGTGTTACAATGTTAGACCTTGTACCAGAAGTGGGTGATTGCTACCCAAAAGCCCTGAAGTTTGGACCAGGCTACTGCTGCGACTCGTGTGGATAAGCTGGCATTTGGCGCGTTCCCTTTCTCCATTGTTTTGTGTAACGTCACGGGTTGGAAAAGGAAAGAGGACATTTGGTCAGACGGGTGAGAAAGGGTCGGAAGCGTGGCTGAGGGAGAAGCGGGCACTTGGCAGAGCGTATATACCAGTGCTTGTGCCAGGTATAGTGAAAAAAAAGCAATACTATACAGCTTTTATCTGCATGTATGGTGTCAGCTAGTGCAAGAGCCCCCCACGCCTCTGGATTTTGTTTTCAAAGGCTCCATTCATCCCGCTCTTGCAGCCCCCAAGTTGGCTTTTCTTGCTTTTTCTCCACGTTGATCTTTTGCTCTTTGATCCTCATCTCCCACGGCCCCATGCCGCTAGAAAAGCCC